TAATATCCAACTTGAAAATGATGAGAAGGTAAAAAATAAAAATGAAGAGCAATGGGAAAAAGAAATAGATATAGAATTGAATTGGATTAAGATATATACTATACCACTACAATGTACTATAGATGTGACATTAAGAAATTTTCAGTATAAGTTCATCCATAGACTTACTGCAACAAACACTATGCTTTTCAAATATAATCTATGCAATTCAAATTTGTGTGATTTTTGCTGCAGTAGTTTAGAAACACTTCATCATCTATTTTGGGAATGTAATATTGTGCAAAATTTATGGTCAAACTTGCATTCCTTTCTCTTATCCATTAATCTTCATTTTTCATACAGTAAAGAAACAGTGTTTTTTGGAGAGCTTACAACCAATATAAATAGTAATGTAGTAAATTATATCATTATTCTAATGAAATATTACATTTTAAAAATGAAATATCAAGGAAGAAAGCCCACTTTTGATATTTTTAAAAACTTTTTGCTGTTAAGGATACAGATTGAAGAAGCAATTGCACTGTCAAATGATAAAATTCAATCGTACAAACAAAAATGGAGTAAATTATCTAACACTTTAACAAACAATACTGATGACTAAAACAATAATATTATGTAAATTAAACGTATAAACCATAAAACGTAAAAAATTAAATGAAACTGATTCACTTGTCTTTTTTTTCCCTGTCTTGTGTGTGTGTGTGTGTGTGTGTTGGTGTGTGTGTGCGTGTGTGCGTGTTGGTGTGTGTGTGTGTTTTTGTTTAGTGTAAGAATGATAGTTTTTTAAGTAGATCTATTCTTTTTCTTTCTGAATTTTTTGAAAGTTTTGTTTTTACTTTTTTTTCTGTGTGGAGTTTCTATGTAAATGTGAATGATTGTGTTTATATGTTTTTGAAAAATAAAATAAATGAAAAAAAAAAAAAAAAAAAAAAAAAAAAAAAAAAAATATTCTTAATAATTGTAAACTTTGTAGCACCGATTACACAAAAAATACTAAATTTAGCATCTATAAATTATAAATATCCAGACACATTTTCAAGAAACCATATTGACAATTCCTTATCACTGCATTAAAACAATCCTTTGATGGTGCAACAACATAAGAAAACGTGTGTGCGAGTGAACAATGGCCCAAACTAAAAAAATAAAATTGATCAGAGAAAAAGAGACAGGGGCAATGAAAGTCAGTTCCAATTGTCGATAATAATCAAAATTCAAAATGGGAGATATCATGACTGCGATTCTTGAATAATTGTACGGATTCTTATCTGGTGTAAGTACAAAATAAATGGGACTCAAAAGTTATACTTTTATACATGTTTGATGCGTCAAGTAAGAACGAATGTTCAACTTAGTGAAATAACCTCGTTTTGTTGTGACAACAAATATCTGTTATTTTTACGTAAATATTAACATTGTTTTTGTAAATCTAGTCAAATCATATTGATTCGAATTCGGGAAAAATATTATTACAGTTTGTCTGTTTCGGTTGACTGGATAGGTATAAACATTTCCCTAAAGAACTCTCTGGCGTTAATGTTCTTGGTTATAACAATGTTGCCGGAGAAATCCTTAAGAGACCAATGCTATTGATTTAGAAAGTCTCTTGTAAGCGAATGATTTTTATAAAGTCTCTTGTAAGCGAAATGTTTCAGATCAACGTCGTTATTTTAAGCAAACCCCTGACATTAGTTATAATTTGTTTACAAAACATGTTCTCGTGAACAAAATGTGTAAATATATGTTCCCGCGAACGAAATAGATAAACTTATAACAACAATAAATCAAAGGTGTTGTCTGAAGAAGTTCAGAGCAATTGTGTTGATAAGGAAATGAAATTGCTTTGTTTGTATATTTTTTATTATTTTCCATAACACTATACGGTCAACGAGGTTGTAAGGTACAAAATGGTACGTCTCATCCAAATAATAAGTTCACAAAGTCCGTTCATAATTTAATAACACTGAAATGCTAATGCATATACCGAATTCTAAACATTGTGTATGAAACGGAACAGCAAAATTGTCGCACTTACAACTACCTCCCTCGATTGTATTTGACAATCCCTTTAGACTTCAAACTGGGTATGTCCAATTTGTTTGCAACTCTAAAATATGGTTTCTATAGAAACATAAATGTGTATGTACGGTCATTAAAACAAACTGTTTGCAGCCGTCATTTAGCATATAAGGTTAGGAAGGGCGCGATTAAAATTTCAGGATGATTTTATTTGGAATTTTAGGTTCAGACTCATATGCGGTAAGAACATTTTCTCAGGGAAAATTATTGGGAGCACGTCTGCAGATGATAACTTTTAAATATTGGAAAGTGTCAGATCAGTTGAATCAATACTCCAATATTGAACGAATTAAAACACGTATAGTAATGCTTGCTTATTTTTCAATGTAATTTCGAGAATACGAGTACACGTATATTTGGTCTTCAAACCATATCTTGAAATCAGACAATGCCACCGAGCACACATAATTCACGTTGATAACTATGCATTAACCTTTAATCCTATTTTTTTTATAAAGTGTTTGATTTTTTATTTTTGTGTTTTAGGATTGCAGTTTTACAAATGAAACATAACATATTTACTTCAGTTAATCGGCTCACTATTTGTAAACCCCTTGTTTATAAAACATATCCTCAAATTGTTAGCATTTACCAGATTAAATTGGTCGAACGGCGATGCCGGTCTTGATCAATTTCATTTTGCAAATGCTTACTAATTAACACTAACCTGTATTTAATACTGAACACGAACACTTACTTGCAGTAATCCTATTAAACACTGAATTTCAATCTTTAGAGTATGATGTTATGAAAAACATGACTAAGTCTAAATTTGTTTTTGCTTTTTTTATGTATCTATTTACATTCTTTAAATATGATATTGTGTTTTTGTATTAGCTTAGGCAACCTTTTGGAGCAAAGTCATGCAGCACTAATATGCAAACCGGTTCGTCGAATTATTAAAGTTTGGTTTGTTTCTCCTATTTCATTTGCTTAGCACTATTTACATAGAATCTTTGGTTAATTTTTTTAAACATATCGTGCTCTTAGATTTAATAAACGACCTCAAAAAAATATTGCTGCTGTTCATGCTCATATCGGTCCTGTGTTTTCTTTCTGCCCTTGATTTGGATAAAGCTGTCATGTCTCAGTACTTTTTCCCCAAAGAAAATGATATCTTACAATAAGCCGCTTAAGAAAAGGTTTCATATATTTCGGTTTAACGGATACCGAGTTTACACAACAGTAGTTATTTGGAACAATTTCCGTGCCCGATATTGCCCTATGAAATATTTTTAGAACAATTGTAGAAAGGGGAACGTAATCCTTGGCGTTGATGAACTTATCAGTAGATTGTAAACCTTTTTTAGGTTCTGTAGATATATCATTGTTGTAAAAGTGCATTATATTTACCAAATACATTCATTTCATCAACAGATAATTGTGACATGAAAATGTCCTTTCAAATGAAAGCGCTTAAACGTGATGATTTAGCTATGCAACGACTGCTACCATGCGTCACACTTCTAACTAATTTTACTCTTTATTGAATAAATGCATTGCGAATTCGCTACTATTTATGACCTGAAGTGAAAAAGATACAATATAAAATAGTCAAAATTAAACCTTCAGTGGCCGAGCAAACTGAATATTGTAGCAGGTTTTACTAAATCGAACATGTTTATAAAAAGATTACCGTGCAAGCCCATGACATTGTTAGAGCAAAATCCGTCATTGATGCGCAACAACGGGATAAAAGTTCTAAGTATACATTTATAGGAATTTAATCTACTCCACTTCCATAAGTTGTGTTTATGAATATTCATATAAATCTAGAAAGAAGGTGATCCCTTGGAATAAAAGTGACATGTTGCGACCAGTGACGCCGGCAAAAAATCATTCATTTGATATAAAAGGTGAAATTTGACAAATGCAGACGCTAGACTTTCATATTCGAAAATATTTTCCTGTCTTTATTTCTCACTTTCTTTCATTTTACACATAGTAATTGGCAATGGAGAAGAAAAATAATCGTAAAGATGTATATCGATTTACAATTTTGAGCAACGTTATAAATTATTAAAATTATATATTTTTTTGGAAATATCATTCAGGAAATCTATCCTTTTCATACTTCTTTGCATTCGTTCGAGATCGACATTTTACATTTTTTTCATATTTTTTTTTTCTTCTTAAACTTTTGCAGTATTAATAGTTTATAGATTTACATACAATTAATTACAACATATTTATTTTCCGATCCCCGAAGATTTATAAGACCTCTGAAAACTGTATTTTCCAAATGATATTGGTGTCTATAACATAAATTAAAATTGTATAGTGATACATCAATATTTAGTTGTTAGTGTTATTAAAGGAAAATAAGTATATTTTTAATGTAACGTTTTAACTGGAAAGGTTATTATTTCGAGACATCATGAGGTCAAGCTATATAAACGTAGCGCTGAAATGAGATGTTTTTGTTTGTTTTTTGTTGTTGTTAATTTGGGTTTTACGTCTCACCAACACATAAAAGCTCACATGGCGTCTTTCAAAGAAGAACTCAAGTCAATTGAACACAATTTAATTTGATATTGCAAACGGAAATTTCTACGTAAATTACCAAATTAAGATCAACATATACAAATATTTATTAATATCTCTTACTGTGTGAGTCATGCAGTCGAAATATGATGATAAATACTGCAAAACCAGTCATTAATGACATAATTATAACATGTTAATTATTACTTTGTGAATATTTGTATTTTTCTTAAAATCTTAAGATTTCTTAAAAAATTGTCTCATGTAGAGGCATACAACTTTAAATGTCAGAAACAATATCAACAAGGATAGGTTGCCTCAGATGATAATGCATTTTTCATTTACATGTTATGACGCACTCTGTCATATGTGTTAAATGTGTTATATATATATCAAACTGCACGTTTTTCTTACAAAGGCTATCTCTTACATTTCAGATGCGGTTGTTCAGTAGGACACAGTGCATTTTTATTGTTTGGAGTGTTTTAAGTGCTTGTACATATGGACTCAGTGTGGACCTTTCGAGACTGAGGGATCTTAGAAGGCCTTTTATATTAGACAAACGACCGGACGCTACATGTACAGGTAAGTGGTCACTTTCTTCTGCAAACATTTTAGTTATGTTTTTGTCACCAACATAAAGCATATTATATATTATTGTTGCTGTAACACGCAGTATTTCAAGTATACACACTTACCGGCTGGGGTAGAATTACAACATTGTTTCGATCAGACACAGATGCTACAAAATTTCTTTAAATAAAAATGCAGTTTATCTCTTAGACAAATACTATTTGTTTTAGTAAGCATATATTTTATACTAGTTTAATTGTTAAGGAAGCTTTAAGCTCAAAGAAAGCTTCTCTGAATTTGGAAAGCGAAATGCTTGATAATTTCCGTAGAAACAGACACACAATTGACGAAGTTCAAATTGATCAAGTTGAATACAAAGAAAAGCAAAGTTAAATCAACCGTTAAGACAGCTATTAAATAGTATTTTATAAACAATTTTAAGTTTAAGTTTAAGAGGACGGTATAAGATGGAGAAGATACAGTATGTTCTTTGTTGGATTATCAACTTTAATTTCGTTTTCACTAAAGAAGTGATCATTTCCTTGAAACAACAATTTAGATAAATGATTGACCTTTTTATTAGAAAATTCAGATATTTTGCACCCATAAAGGTGATGAAGCATTAAGAAGGAAGTCCATATTTGATACATTTCAACTTTTGATACCCTGTGGACGAGATCACAGATATTCCCCTATATTACCACCTAGGATTAATTATTTCGTCAAGTGTTAGGAATGTGCTAATATAGGAAGGCAACATTAATTAGATTTTAGCATGGGATTGTTTCAGTCAATACATTCGGCGTAAAAACATATTGACATGAAGTTGTTTTCATAATCGTATGCATGTTGGTATTCTTTGGCTAACAAAAGTGGTATTTTTTTGGCTTACAAAAGTGGTATTCTTTGGTTAATAAAAAGTATTCTTTGACTAATAATAGAAGTGTTCTTAAGCTAATAAATGTGGTACTCTTTGGTTAATAAGAATAGTATTCTTTAACTAATTAAAGAAGTATTCTTTGATTCTGTGGCTAACAAAAGTGATATTCTTTGGCTAACAGAAGTTTGGTTTTTTCTTGTTAATAGGAAATGTATTATAATCAAACTAATAATCTTATATTTCAACACAGCTGTAATAAAAGATTACAAAATTTAACTAAAAATTAGCGCTTTTCAGGGTTTCGATTACATTTTAGTATTTCAGCTGACTAACCTATGTTCTAGATATTTGATACAGAAGTGCCAGGAATTGGCTTATTCCTAATTATTTATTAATCATTTTCCAAAATGGGTATATACAACATAACATAACTTGGTATCTCTTGTTATTTAAACAGTGACAGAGAAAAAAAGAACGTTTGACATTTCATGTTTAGAATAAAATGAACATTTGTCAAACTGACAACGCCTGTATGCAATGTTCAGTGAAAGGAAAGACAAAGAGCAAAAATTATTTGAACTCATCATTTATTTACAAGAAGAACCTAAAATACTCAAAAAGTAAATGTTTAAATTGGATATATACCGGGAAAGTTGTTTAGAAACACTGACAAGAGCTGAATTATTTATTCCCTCAAAAGTAATTTCATACACTATAATGTAGAAATCTTATTGATTTATTACGTTTTATACAAATGACATTTCAAGGGACTTTCTGTTGTATCATCGTTTACAAACTGTAGTTATGTCCGTGAACAAGCTCAGTCAAATCGAGCCTGCAACATTTTTAATTGTCTGTCAAGATTTAAACTGTTAATACAAATTTTGGTTAATTTTGCTCCTCAAATTCAGTGGTACCTCGAAATCTCCTTGATTTTGCATATTGTCTACATATTTTTTAAGTATCTTAAGTGAAGTATTAGAGCAAAGATAAAAAACAAAAGGAAAATCAACGTTACGAAACGCAACGTTCTTCCACACAAGAGCACGCACTACAAGGGTACCCAGTGGTCCAACAAATAGGACCAAACATGCTAAAACAAAGGGGAAAGAGAGAACTCAAAGCACGGGAAGGGTCTGATTGATTTTTTTTTATATCAAACCGAAAATATGACAACCAACAACCTTGAATAGAAAGCTTTTTTGCCGAAAGTAGTCTTTTTTAGCCATTACATAAATACATAGTGGTTTTTCTTATGTCTTCTAAAAGAACCAAGGAATGTTTTAAAGCTGGGAAAGTCACACACTTTGTTTATTTTGATTAAAATATACAGCCATAATGACAACGAAACTCTGTCTAAAAGAATATTCTTTTAATTCATTGATGAAATGTGTGTTTTTTTAAGTTGTAAGTTGTTTACAAATGTCGTATAAAATCTAACATAGTCGTTTTTATGAACATTACATAAATACAAACTTTATATATAAAATGTTCTTTCAGTGACAGCTCATATGAGGTTATTCGACAGTGATTTCTTCATTCTTGTTTTTCCTGGGTTATTTTTTTCCGAAGATCTTAATCGAGGAAACGACATAAAATAATATGTCTCCTTGTCTATCTGTATTTGGTATTTTTGTATCCATATATCAATTTAATTTTCTTATGGGAAATATACCCTCCTCTTGTAATCGAAATTACTTGTAACAAACAATTGATGGTAATTGTCGCCCAATGATCTACCGTCGTCCCCATGAGTGTAATTGTATCTACACCAGGTCATATCTCTTATGGAACTCTGATTTCGCCTTCAAAAGTTTTAAACAATATAGTACGATCACAATTCTCTCGGGCATTGTAATGACATAAATCGCTTTAGATGATACATTGCACGGTTGGAAAGCAAAACACGTGTTACAGGCAAGACTCTCTTGGGATGAAATATGTTTTGCTTTTACTAGAAATTTCTATCACTGTTCAAAACAAATAACAAAACCATATTTATGCATATAAGTTATAGAATATAAGAAATTGCGAAAAGAAAATAAACACAACAAGTACACTTTAATGCCCAAAAGAATTGTTTCACATGCTTTGATTTGTGGAAAAAGAAAGATTAAGCCTACGCTAAAAATTCATCTTAAAATACGTTGTATAAACGTTTCCGTATAGATACAATAGATATGTAGGAATTTAAATTATTGTAAATCAGTTTGTCAAGTCATTCATTTTTGTTCTTTGTTAATAAATAACAGTAGAAAAAAAATATTTCACTTTTCATGTGTTTGTTGACGTAAATTAATTTTACTGACATAGATCTGATGATTTTAAGTAACCACTAAGAAAACACGACCACACATATAATGGCGATTAATTATAGACATACAATTATATGCATTACATACCAGGAACATACAAAACAAACAAAGTAAGCAAGCTCTCTTCTTCGTCTAATATTTCAATAAATTAATATGTGGGTTATGATGAAAAAGAAATGAAATAAAAAAATTAAGATTAAATCTTCCTCTCTTGTTATAACGTCCTCAATGGTTCAGATTTTTTGTTTAATTATTAACACGTTTGCAGTCCTTTGAGATTAAATGAAATATTTTCTCTGATGTAATATTCATATTGGCACAGATGAAAATGCTTTTTTTGCTGATATCTGTTTACATTGTGGAAATTATTTTGATACAATCCGTCTGATACGTCCCTAAAGGACATTGAATATTTCTGTGAAATATTATCCCACGCTTATATGCCAATTTTAGTCATCCGTCCGTACAGATGTCTGACTTTTATGTCAATGAATATGTTCATCAATTGTTTGGTAATAATATTGGCGTTTGATATATATCACTTTGACAGAAATTGATGAATTAATTTAATGTGAAAGTGTGAGACAAAAATGCAGTATTTAATTTATTGGTTAGGCACTGAAAAATACTTTAAGCGAATCAGTATACCAGTACAATGAAATGGAATGCATTTATATTTTTTTTATCTGTTCGGATAAATATTGGAGGATTAGCATCTTAGTAGCTACCGTTTATATTTTCATATCAAGCCGGGGAACTTGATAAAAAAACTGAATACCTTCAATTTACTTAATATTTAAAACAAACATTCCAATGAATTCGTTATAAATGTATGATACATATATAAGTATTACTAAGATGGTCTGACATTGTGAATGGAGCTAGTACATTTTTCTTTTGCAGTTGACGATTGAGTTTAATTTTGTACAATTGTGTGTACACAAGTTAGTTCTTTATATCAGTTCATGAATTGTGCTCTATCTACATGTAGTTCTTGTAACATACAGTGGTTGAAATGTTTTGTATAGAAAACAGTTTGCTTGCTTGATTTTTTGCAATATGTTGATAATGTATATTCCTATTAAGGAAAAAAAACGTTGTTGGTGAAATAACAACGTAATAAAATAACTTGCAATAACCAATTGTACCTTTTTAAAAAAAAATGAAAATAGCATTTGGATATAAGCGTTATATTTTTATCGTAATATTTTTATAGTCTTTCAGTTAACACTTTAAACCGACTTTTAATGTATTTGTGCTGTACAATTTTGCCTGAAAACAAGTAATTTCTCATCAAACTTAAAATATTTTAAATCTTTGCAGTATTATCCAAACAATATATTATAAAAATCAGTTCTCTTTAAGGCCTAAAAGATAAAATATCTTATTTTCTGATAAATATACGCATTCTACGCATAAGAATAATCTCCTTATTTATTCATTTCTTTATTTTATTTATTTATTTGTTTATTTATTTATTTATTTATTTATTTATTTATTGAAAAAGATTGTTCAGCATTGAATGCTTTCATCCTCAAGAGGATTAACAAACATGTCCTCAAAAGGTGACCTATTGAAAATATCACCGTCTGCTTCTTAAAGATACATTGCGCGTTGTTGTACGCACCGATAAATCTTTTGACGTCTGTAAGGCGCGATCTTCTAAAGTTCACGTTTCCGGTTTCGAAGACAATTAGCAATAAACCATTCCTTTCCATGCTGTTATTAAGCCTAGGTCTGGTTACCGCTAAATGGTTCATTAGGTAAAAGCTGATATTAAGTTCAATACGTAGGTTGAATGTCTCTTTCTGTAATGA